GTTGGGGCGGGAGCAGGGGCCAGGATGTGGCCTGTGTCTCTTCCAGGATTTCTGAAATGTATTTAAGTGATAGAGGAACCTTTCCTCACAAGTGACCTTAGAAACCTGTCCCCTACTAAAAGGCTCTGGGAAGGAAGGGAGAATGTGGGGAGAGGACAACCACCCTGTAACTAAGCAGCCTGTTTCTGGAGGGGCCCAAGAGGCTTCCTTAAAATTCAGAGATCCTCGCTGAGAGGTTCATCGTGTTCCTGCAGAGCACACCCTCTCTGTACCCCCCTTTCTCTAGAGGGCTCTGCATCCCCCTTCCAGGACCCAGGGGGATCTGTGGGTACTGACCTACCAGAGGCCCAAGCAGAGAGGTGAGTGAAAAGAGCAAGCAGGGGATGTGGGGTGGCAACGGTAGTGGCCAGCAGGACCCATTTATGTAAAAAACAAACCATCAGGGGCGCCTGGGTGGCTTAGTCGGTTAAGCGTCCGACTTTCGCTTGGGTCATGATCTCGCGGTTCGTGGGTTCGAGCCCCGCGTCGGGCTCTGTGCTGACTGGCAGCTCGGAGCCTGGAGCCTGTTTCAGTCTGTGACTCCCTCTCTCTCTGACCCTCCCCTGCTCACGCTGTCTCTCTCTCCTAGAAATAAATAAAACATTAAAAAATTAAAAAAAAAAAACATCAATAAACCAGCCACAGGGTTTTCTACATATGTATGTGTAAGCATATTTTTTAAACATTCATTTTGTTTGATTTGCTTTAATGTGACAGGGCCTTGTTCTTAGGATTTAACAATCATTAAACAATTTTATAATTGTTTATAAAATTAAATAATTTAATAATTGTTAAATAAAAATCAGGACTTGCCCCTTATAGTCACAAGAGGGAGCCGTGGACCACATCCGTCTGTATGCCTCTGTTCCCATCTTGGAAGAACCCCTTCCTGTCCCCCAATTCCCACCCTCCAACCTCTACCCCAGGGCAGGAGAGAGGAAACAGGGAATGGAGGCCTACCATCCCTTATCTGCAATTCTGAAATCCAAGAAAAACATAGAAACCAAATCTTTCTTCAGGTGGCACCCAACGCGTAATCTGAATAGAGGTGAAGTTTTTTTTTTATAGCTTTTGCCCCATTTAGTGTGGAGATTCAAACATCGCACAGCAGAAATGTCAATGCATTTGATCCTGTCAGGCAGCCCCGGGCCCCACGGGGGATATTACATAATCTGTGGTATACACACCATAATACCTTTCGAAACTGGGAAAATTTCTCAGTTTGGAGTCACATCTGGCTCTTTAGGGTTTGGTAAGGGATTGTAGACCTTTACTCATGTCTATAGCTGCCACTTTCTGCCCCTAAGAATCCTTCCTTCTCCCATTCCTTGCTGGAGGGTGGAAATCCCCTAGGTGTGCCCGAAAAGTTCCTAGTCATTGCCTGGAGGGCACAGAGACCAAAGATCCAACAGCAATGAAGGAAAGGGTCCTTCAGCAGCCAAGGCGGGGACCTTCCTGCTGCTGAAAGGAGTCCTCTGATATCCTCTCCCTGACTAGGCTAATGATGGCACGAAAGACCCTCATTCCGTCATAGGCAACCCCAGGCCCACATCCTGGTGACGTCCAGTCCAGACAGCAGCAACGCTGGGCCTCAGAGCCCCAGGGGAGCTGGGGGTACAGGACAGCCAGCCCTGCACCGTCATCCTCTGGCTCTGACCTCAGCAGGTAATTTGAGAACATTTCTGCCGCCCCGTCTGTGACCACTTCCACCTCCGCTCTATGTTTTCGCCTTCTTTCAAGGATGGAGGGGTTTCGGGGTGGATGGGAGTGGGGAGAGAAGCCACTGAGAGAAAGCCCAGTCTGTATGGTTAAAGGAGTGATGTTGGAAGATACACAAGATGAGAGATCAGAAGAGCCAGGCTCCCAACTTTCAGGGGAGAGTGTATCTGTGTGTGCCTGCCTGCATGGATGAATGAGACAGATATGAGACAGATAAAGTGACGAAACCCATGGGGTGGAGAAAGGCAGAAGGAGAGACAGAGACAAAGAGTTAAAAAAAAAAAAAAAATGCTACCAAACCTGGCCGAAGAGTATTTCAGCAAATGTTTTTGGAATAGATCCAATGAATTGCCACTTTTAATAAAAGACTTCTAGAACAGGAAGTCCCCAAAGCAGAAGGCTGGTATATGTGGCTGTTAAAATTTGCATCCATCATCTTAGAACAATGTTAATTAACCAACCAATGATTGTCCTGAGGTCCATATCCAGGGCTTAGAAAGTTAAATGAGGAACCTTATGTCAGCATTTATATTTAATTAAAACCCAAAAATTATCTGAAGAGAGTGGGAAAGCCCTTGACCCGTATGATGTCCAGAGGGTTGACCTTACCTTTCAAAGGGAGCCTGAACTTGGTCCCAGGTAGAGCCTGGGAGCCGCCTGTGGAGTGGCAGCTTGGGGCAGAGTTACGTCAATTGCCTGCTTGCCAAGCCTGACCCCAAAGGACAAGAAACAAGCAGAGGAGATGTCTCCCATCCAGAAACCTGCGTTGGACAAACAACACTGAAGATCATTTCAAGTATGGCGGAGGGAGGGGGTATCAGCAGAAGGGAATGAGTCCTTCTGGGGAGGGCACACCACCAGTCCTGGTTGTAAAAGAGACTGGAAGATGAGCAGGCTGTCACCCTGTGATGCTGGAATGTAGGTAAGCTTCTTTGGCCTGGCAGGAGGCTGGGCAATGTCATACACTTAACTACTTGCTGAGTGAACAACTGGGTCATCTTCCTCAACAGGGGCCTCAGGTGTGGCCTCAGTGATCTGTGGCTGAAGCTGTCACACACTGGCTTGGTTCAGGTGAGTCAACAGGACCCCAGGCTCTACTGGAAGTTGGGGTAGAGAGCTCCTGGCTGAACCAGTGAAAGCATTATGTTTGCAAGTCACCTTCAATCATAAACCAAGAGGCTTCTCTCTACTTGTTATCTGTGTGACCTTGGGCAAGATTCTTCACCTCTCAGTGCCTCAGTTTCCTGGCTATAAAATGGGCACAGGTTATAAGTACCTTCTAGGAGTGCGTGAAAGCTTGATAAAGTGATGCATGGAAAATACTTGGGAAGAGCACCTGGTGCATAGTTGTATGGTTCAGTCCTCCAGCTGGCCTGACCTACCTTATAATCTCCCTGTACTTTCTGGGAACTTCCTTAGGACAATGCAACAGGTAAGGGTCCCTGGGATGGGGAATACTCACTGGGGTTCAAATGGAAGGCAGATAATGGGCACCATCCAACTGACGTGTTTCTTGCATCAGTCACGCCTGGTGCTGCCTCTGCACTGGACAAGAAGCCAGACTGATGGCAAATTGAGTCCTAACCATGGCCTCTCCTCAGCTTCCCCAGTGCCTGCCCAGCAGGACCCAGCCCTGAGGGGCCCACTCCAGGCAGTGGGATGTAGAGTCTGCTTGTGATTCCTGGGGCTTTCCATCGTCATTTGGAAGCTTCTGGCAGTCTTTCAGGCAAGGCTGTGATCAATGACGCTTGTCTTCTTTCCAAGAGTCTCATTAAAGGCACCCACCCAGGGCCCAGTGGACTGTGGCTTAGGGGACAACCAGCCAGCAGTAACCAGCAACTTCTTCATGATCGCAAAGGCAAAAAGTAGGGTGCAAAGGGAAGCTGTGCTTTTCTGTTTTTGAGGCTTCCTAACATGGTGGGGCCAGAACTGCAGGCCCAGAGAAGAACCGTGAAAACCTACTTTTTAGGTTTGTCCAAATGACTCTTCCATATGCTCTGCTCAGGACTCCGAGTGGATGCTTTCCAGTGACAGTGGAGGAGGTGGGATCTGCATCCTGCTGCAGACCCTGCCCACAGGCCTCCTGGTGGGATGGACAGCACACGCCCCAGGCCGGCTGACCCCACTGAAGGGGCAGTGCCGCGGCAACTCAGGCTGTGATCCTCAGCGGCTGACCACCCGGGGCAGAACGATTCCCGCACCAATAGGCTTCCCCATCTGCAGTACTTATTCCAGGCTTGGGGCTTCTACTACCCCGGGCACCTCCCCTCATCACGCAAACCCACCCAGACTTCCTTCCCCTTCCCTCAGGACTGCACCAAGCTCAGAATTCTTGATGAATATGAAAGACTGGAATAAGCAGGATGTCTAATATCTACTTTCTTTTCTAGGTCATTGATTTTTGCTCTCACCTGTATTATTTCTATTTTTTTGGCTTACTTTTGATTTGTGATTTCAAGATTTTATTTTTATTTTTGTTATTTTTTAAACTGTCTTCGAATATGAGTGGGGGGAGAGGGGCAGAGGGAGAGAGAGAGAATCTCAAGCAGCTTCCATGCTTAGCACAGAGCCTGATGCAAGGCTCAATCCCACGACTCCAGGATCATGACCTGAGCTGAAATCAAGAGTCAGATGCTCAAATGACTTAGCCACCCAGGTGCCCCAAGATTTTATTTCTAAGTAATTTCTGCACCCAATGTGGGGCTTGAACTCACAACTGCAAGATCCAGACTCACACGCTCTGCTGACTGAGCCAGCCAGGTGCCCCTCTTCTTTGCTAATACATGTATTGAGGTCTATAAAATTTCCTCTGAGCATTCCTTTAGCTGCAGCCCACAAGTCTGATACGCCACATTTTCATATCTTCTTGTTTTTAAGATCTGTGTTCCACTCTTCTGATAAATTAAAATATTCAGACCAAGTCCTGCATTCCAACCTAAACTATGAACTTCATCTCACTTTATGGCCAGAACTACTTGGCTGCAGATTCTCTGTAAACAGATTCGGAAGAATGAAGCTCCAGGGATTTTAAGGGCTCCTAAGCGCAAGAGGCAAAGGTCAAAAGGAACAGTCTGATGACTCTTTCCTTTTGTTTTTGATACACAATTTCGCCTGAATAAAAAGTGCAAACAAGACTTAAAATAAAACTAATAACCCATCCAAACAAGGTCTCCCAATGCCTTAAATAAGCCTTAAAAAAAAAAAAAAAACCCTTTTAACAAATGACACAAAATCTGCCGACATTGTACTTAAAAAGGAGCCTAGGAATGGAAACCATCTGCATGTTGCTGATCGAGATTTATTAAATTTATGTCATGTCATTGTGATCACTTTTACAGCTGTTTAGACGTATTTTCAATCACATTACCATTCACAGAATTCACAGAATTCATTAACAAACTAGTATTTTACACCCAAGGTTCTTCAGTAGCACAGCAAGATAGAAACGAGGCCCACGAGGTGATTTTGTGTGATTATTTAGATGCAGATGTCTAGAACATTATTGCTTTATTAGTCCTATTTTAAAAAACAATAAACTATTCCCAGGAAACCCTCCCTGCCAGGTGCTGTTCATACTGTGACTGTGCTAGGCTCCCCCGTGAGGGTGCAGACACGTGGGGGCCCACGGAACCACCCACCGCATCCCCCACTGCTCTGGCGGCTAGGAGAGCAGGCAGCAGCAGGCCTACACCCCTCCTCGCCTGCTCATACTTTTTATAGCTGGCCGTTTCCCTCCCTGATCTCGCAGCGGACAGACTGCATTCACATAGGGGTCTCTATTGTAAAACTTAACCTAGACATAGACAAGAGGGGCTCAGCGAATGGAGACTAATGCTCCTGACTAAACAGCCACTGACCATGCAGGGGAGGACGTCGAAGCAACAGAAAAACCTCGAGTCTCAGTCTGTGAGGGATGTTTTTAAAGAAAATGGCCTCGGTGATTATGGCCCAAGGCAGCCTTGAAGACTTCTGGGTAGATTTCATGGCTGGGTTTTAATTTTGTTCCGTGTGAATTTCTACACTGTGAAAAATATCTTGGAGATCTCCTCGTGGCCCCTAAAGCTCTGTGGATCTGTCGAGACGGGGGATGGGGGACTGGCTTCCTCAGGGACGCTGGCTCTCTGACCGCGTTTGGGGCAGGATCCCTGAGAAGTGGTGGCCGCGTCAGAATTTGGAGATGGGGGTAGATGCTCAGTGCCAAGTGCAGGCTGCAGTTGTAGGGCCTCAGTCCAGCTTCTTGTTGTTGTCTGTGTTGTGCACAGAAGCTAAGAAGTCGACAATGAGCTTGGCTGTCTTCCGGGGCCTCTCCATCACCACTGAGTGCCCGCAGTTTTCCAGAAGTTCCACCTGGCAGTTGGCGATCGACCTGGCCAACATGTCCGCCCCAGACACGTCAAGCACCTGCAGGCAGGACAAGAGAGGAAACCAGACAGAAAAGACTCAGACACCTGAGAGCGTGGCTGGGGGGACCGAATGCCAGCTGAAGCCTGGCAGGGGTGATTTCTGCGACCAAGTCACTTTGGTGTCGGGGCTTGTGGCTCCTCTGACAGACGTGGCTGCGTGCCCCGTGTTTTCTGCTGCAATATGGTGCTAGGAATTGTGTCACTGCCAGCATTACTAAAGTGGAAACACACAGCCCTTGCCCTGGTCTGATAGGGAAGCCAGACTGGTCAGCAGGTGAGGGCTCTGATGGGGGAGCACCCCAGGAGCTGCGAGTGACTGGATGGAGGAGGATTCATGGACGATGAGGGGGTGGAGGGCACATCATGGCAAGAGCAGGAGACAGCAGTTGGCTTGGTGCTGAGAGGCAGCACGCAGGGAGTGGGGAGCACGTGGTGGAGAGATGGGGTGGGGAAGAGGGGCCTGTTTCCCCAGCCATGCTGGCGGCTCAGGCCTCCATCTGACAGCAGTGGGGAGCTGGGGGACTGTGTTAGGGATGGACGTGATCAGTCCAGCTGTGGGAGGGACACACAAACAAGATGCAAGAGGTGAATGCTAATTATCCCAAACTGGAGGTGGGGGAATAGTATCTCTTTGAACGTCCCAGAGCTGTGTGACTGAAGGTCTTGAAATGTGTGAATAACAGGGAACACTTTTCTGATATGAAAGCCACCACTCTCCAGGGCTGACCCTTTCTGGCCAAGGCATTTAATTTCATTGTGCCCTAGGTTACCTGGCTATTTACACCAATTCAGTGTTTCTTCCCCAACACGCTCTGTAGTGTCAGATTTACATTTGTTCCCTGTCATGGCTTTCACCTTCAACTCATCCCATGCAAGAGGACCCCTCTCCTCATCCTCAACACAAAAGCAAGGTCCCCAACAAATTCAAGTGCCATCAGGTTTTCTTTCCCCTTAAAAAAATTTTTTAATGTTTATTTATTCTTGAGAGACAGAGACAGAACATGAGCTAGGGAGGAGCAGAGAGGGAGACACAGAATCTAAAGCCGGCTTCAGTCTCCGAGCTGTCAGCACAGAGCCTGATGTGGGGCTTGAACCCACAGACCGCGAGATCATGACCTGAGTCAAAATCAGATGCTCAGTTGACTGAGCCACCCAGGCGCCCCAAGTGCTGTCTGTTTTTGAGCTTCATTCTCATCAACCCAGACCATTAAAATCAAGATTTTCCACCCAGGAAGCAGAGCAAGCAACATGCCTCAGCCAAGACACAGAGCACGGCAAAGTACCCCTGGGGCCACAAATAGCAGCTTATGGGGACCTTAGTGAGGGGGGTACCCGCAGAGGAATCAGACACCTCTGCCTTCCCCTCACCCACAGGTAAAGCTGCCGTGGCAACTGTCTGAGCAGAAATACAGTCCAGATTCTGTGGAAAAATACCCAGAAGAAATGCAGGTGGACCCAACCGGTCAAAGCATGAAAAAACAGAAACTCCCAACTGAATATCCTGCAGAGAGGTAAAAAACCACAGCTCAGAAATATGCACATGAGCCCCTAGCTTTGACCCTGTTATGCTGGTCAAATTCAGAATTCTCCACAGTCACTCAGAGGTACATGCAATAAAAGCTGTAGGGACGCTCATGCACATCTACAGGAACCACACCAGCCGTTTCTTGGGCAAGACATTCTTCCAGATGGTCACACAATCTTCCTCCATACCATTTCAGGCCAAGGTCAAGGCCAAGATTAGGGTGAGGGAAGTGAGGCACTAGCCTTTGGCACAAAACTTAAGCAGCCTCCAAAAATCTCAGTCATCAAGATGAAGGTTATTATTTTTTTTTTAAGTAGGCTCAACACCCTAATGGGGGGTTTGAACTCAAGATCCTGAGATCTAGACCTGAGCTGAGATCAAGAGTTGGATGCTTACCTCAGGTGCCCCAAGATAAAGATTATATTAATGCAGTATTTAAAGCAAATAGACATTAATGCAAAAAGATCCATCGTGAATAAAATACAAAAATTACAAAGACAGGATCTAACCTTGCACTTACATGACATACCTCAGCTTAGTCTGAGCCCTGCCATGCATTACAATGTAAGTAGACTATAAGCTGCTGGAGGGCAGGGATCCCATCTGTCTTGGTGTCTGCTATATTCCCAGGGTCTAATACGGTGTCAGGCACACACAAGATGCTCAATATAAATCTGTTAGCTGACTTAAAGGTAAAGGCAGTCAGTTGGCGGGTTTGTCCCTTTGCTAGTTTATTTTTTTTTTTTTAAATAAGGTATCTTTTTTTTTTTTATTTCTAGGAGAGAGAGAGAGAGAGAGAGCGAGACAGAGCGAGCAGGGGAGGGTCAGACAGAGAGGGAGTCACAGACTCTGAAACAGGCTCCAGGCTCTGAGCTGGCAGTCAGCACAGAGCCCGACGCGGGGCTCGAACCCACGAACCGCGAGATCATGACCTAAGCGAAAATCGGACGCTTAACTGACTAAGCCACCCAGGCGCCCCAAGGTATCTTTTTTTTTTTTTAAAGCTTATTTATTTATTTTGAGAGAGAGAGAGGGGACAGTGCTAGTGGGGGGAGTGGGTGCAGAGAATCCCAAGCAGGCTCTGTGCTGTCAGCTCGAACCCACGAAATTGTGAGATCATGCATGACCTGAGTCGAAATCCAGAGTCAGATGCTTAACCAACTGAGCCACCCAGGTGCCCCTATTTACTTTCTTGCTTGCTTACTCACTCACTGTGTACTCTGGGTCTCCTGCATACCAGGCACTGTGCTGGCAGGGTGAAGGGGCATAAACAGTAATAGACCTTGTATATCTCCACAAAGCCCGCCCACTCTGTTGGACTGAACACAGAGGAGAAATATTTGAACTGCTATGCAGAACTCCTCTCAGGAAGGGTTGCCAGGTTCAGTTGTGCAGGCTGTATACTGGCCAAATCCAGAGGGCATGATTCACATAGACAACAATGTGTATAGCTCCCTGCAGTGCACAGTACAGCAGCTGCATCACCTACAGGGGTCCAAAGAACAGGGAGACTGCGTTCAGCCTGGCAGGAGCTGGTCCGTGACATCAAATGTTGATGATAGAGCAGGAAAAGGGCCAGATGCTTGGGAAGCAACAGGCCATGAAGTAAAGGGCCCCTGAAACCTTTGCTACTTGGGTTCTGCCCTGGGGATGGTCCATAGAACACACAGAAGATCTGACTGTATTTAGAGCAGGCCCATGGAACGTTACGCTCTTTTTTTCAGAACAAAATGGACCTCAGAGCTCTGGAAGAAACTCTGGACCATAGGCAGAGGCCAAATGTCAGAGGGAAAGGGCACGAGTAATAAATAACTTATTTTTGTGTAACTGGAGAAAGATCACCCTCATATGTATTCACTTAAGCCTCACAGTCACCCCAGTAGTAGAAGAGAAACACAGGATTTGGAGCGGCTGAGTGGCTTGCTCAAGGTCACGGGCCCGATAAAAGGCAAAGGCCGGGCTGGAACCTAGACTTTTAGAGTCCAAGCCCAGCAACCTGGCTTCTGCATTGTCTCCGCAGGGCAGGGCAGGGCCATGGGTCCTTACCTCTCCTTGGTGGTCCCTGAGAGCCCCAAATCACCTTTGGGATTTCTAGAATGAAGAAAGGCCTTCATTGTTCTAACTTGATTTCTGACTGAATAACCCCCTGATGGCCTACTCTGTCCTGCTTCTCCACTCAGGTGCACACAGAGCTTCTTTCAGTCCTCTGGCTGCTGCAGAAGAGATCACATGAGCCCTCCCTGCTCTCCGCGCCCACATCCCTGCACTGAACATCCTTGGCACTGCCTGGCCGACACGGATGCTATCACCAGTCCCTCCCCGCACGCGCTGGGACACAGTTCTGGCTTCTCCTTCCAGGAGACCACCCTGACCTTAGAAAGACTCCATCTCTCATTGCCTCTTCTTCTTACTTTACATTTTGGAAGAATTCTGAGTTAAGGTACAATTTCTAAAGAACAGTTGCAAACAAAAAGGAACCTCTGAGGTAGAAATCAGTATGGAGGGTCTCTTATGGCTTGTGTCCCCCCTAAAATTCATATCTTGACACTTCCAATACTTCAAAAGGTGACTTTATTTGAAAATAGGGTTGTTCCAAATGTAATTACTTAAGATGAGGTCATACGGGTGCAGGGTAGACCCCTCACAAAAATTTAAACACAGAGACACACAGGTATAGGGAGAATGCTATGTGAGGATGAAGGCAGACAGCAGGGTGACCTATCTATTAGCCAAGGGACACAAAGATTGCCAGCAAACCACCAGAGCTGGGCAAGAGGCATGGTACAGACTCTCCCTGACAGCTCCCAGGAGAAACCAATTGCTGACAACTTGAACTTGGACTCCTAGCTTCTAGAACCTTAAGAGATAATCAATTTCTATTGTTTAGGCCACCCAGTACTTTGTTATGACTATCCCAGCAAACTAATACAGAGCCATCTAATAAAAACTATTAAAACTTTATTATTAAAAAAATATTTTTTTCAAAGTAAGCTCTATACCCAACATGGGGCTTAAACTCACAACCCTGACTTCAAGAGTTGCATGTTCTACCGACTGAGCCAGCCAGGCACCCCTAACACCTATTAAAGTTTTAAAATGCACTTGCCTTTTGACCCAGTGAGTCCACATCAAAGAATTCACCCTTTGCGTATGCTCTTACACTCCACAAACACACACCTATGTTGGTGTCACTGAGGCATTGTTAATAGCAAAAAACTGGAAATTACCTAAATGACCATCAGTAGAGCACTAATTATATACACTGTGGCAGAGCCATATAAGGAAGTACTATGCAGCTGTTATAAGAATCATGTTGGGGCACCTGGGTGGCTCAGTGGATGAAGTGTCTGACTCTTGGTTTCGACTCAGGTCATGATCTCACAGTTTACAAGATGAAGCCCTGTGTTGGTTTCCGAGCTGACAGCGCGGAGCCTGCTTGGGATTCTTTCTCTCCTTCTCTCACTCTGCCCCTCCCCCACTCACACTCTCTCAAAATACATAAATAAACTTAAAAAAAAAGAAAAGGGGTGTGTGGGTGGCTCGGTTGGTTGCGCATCTGACTTCAGCTCAGGTCATGGTCTCACAGCTCGTGGGTTCAAGCCCCACAGTGGGTTCTGCCCTGACAGCATGGAGCCTGCTTCAGATCCTCTGTCTCCCTCTCTCTCTCTCTCTCTCTCTCTCTCTCTCTCAAAAACAAACAAACGTTTAAAAAGAAAAGAATAATGTAAACTTTGTTTGGAGCATGAATCATTCACAGATGGTCAATCTAGGGGGCAATGTTTAATGAGGAACAGGATATTTCCAAGTGTCTCCTGCAGACTGCTTACCAGTTGCAAGGGGAGAAATAGTAACTCTACAGTGAAGAAATGAGACAACACCCTAACCAGGCAATCAACATTAACATCACGAGGATGGGCAGGAGGACACGGTGTGTCTGAGATGTGAAATCTTGCCATGCATGAGCTATTCGGGCAGGGGCACATAACCTGAGCTTAACCATGAGGAAACAGCAGACAAAGTCAAATTAAGGAACATTTCATAAAATAACTGACCTGTACACTCGACAACAAATACCTCGATGTCATGAATGACAAAGGCAGAGTAGGGTATCAGTCCATAGTAAGGGAGACTACAGAGGCATGACATGTAACATGTGATCCTGGATTAGATCCTGGTTCAGGGAGGCAGGAGGAGGAGGAGAAAGAGGAATCCATGTAGTATCTTATTGAAACAACCGACGAATTTGGAATATGGATGGTATATTAGACAAAGGCATCACATCTAAATTCCTGAATGTGGGAAGCCCGGGTGGCTCAGTTGGTTAAGTGTCCAATTTTGGCTCTGACCTCACAAATTATGGGTTCAAGCCCTGCGATTAGCTTTGCACTGATAGCACGGAGCCTGCTTCAGATTCTATCTCCCTCTCTCTCTGCCCCTCCCCTGTCTGCTCTTTCTCTTTCTCTTTTTTTTTTCTCTCTCTTTCAAAAATAAATAAACTTTTTAAAAAATTAAGAAAAAAAGCAGGGTTTAACCACTGGTCATATCATTTTTGTGTATGTATAGAAAAACTTACCTAAATACATGAATAAACGTCAGGAAAATTTAAAAATATATATATAAAAAATAGGATGAGTAAATCTGTGTGGGCTGGTATAAAACGATTTCCAAGATATATAAATTCCTACATATATGGAATAATGTGCAAAACAGTGCATCGAGCATGTGTGAGCAACCTACAGGTAAAACTTATCTATGTATGTGCATGTATGCGTAGCACAGCAACAAGCAAACAATGACCTGTTTTTGGAAACAAAGGTTCACTGGACTCTGCCATGCCATTTGTCTGCATATTGTCTATGGCTGCTTTTGCAGAGCTCAGTAGTTGCAAGCCCAAGATAGTAGGGGTTGCAAAGTCAAAAATATTTGCTACTGTCAATCCCTGCCTAAGAAAATTTAAGAAATATATGTAAGACAGTAAGAACTGCTCAAGGAAATAGGAATTGGAATCTGGGATGGAAAAGAGATCAAATTCTCATTAGAAACCTTTTTGTACTCTTTTTTTTTTAATGTTTATTTTTGAGAGAGAGAAAGAAAGAGAGCAAGTGGGGCCGGGGTGGAGAGAGTGAGGGGGACAGAAGATCTGAAGTGGGCTCTGCACTGACAGCAGAGAGCCCGATGAGGGGCTCGAACTCCCGAGCCATAAGATATGACCTGAACCAAAGTTGGACACTTCCCAGACTGAGCGACCCAGGTGCCTCTACGTTTTTGTACTCTTTAAACTTTTTTTGTACTATGAGACTACATGGCTTTGATAAAAGTAATTTGTAAAAATGATTTTAAATTGCCTTTCACTTCAAAAGATCAATGTTGTCTCTCTCAACTTAAGAGAATGCTGTTCCCTCTACATCAGCACCTGACCTAGGTATGTTCCCACCTCCTCCTGGTAACAGAAATCAGCCAGTGAGGCTCACGTTATAAATGACCTCTTGCTTTTCCTCAAAGGCCAGTGTAACTGGCACAGGTGGCCCCGGGGACACGCTACATACCTGGTCTTGTTTCCCCCAAATGATCTGCGTTGGGACCTTGATCTTGTCCATGTTCTGATGGAGGGAGTATCTTGACTTCTCACTGACAATTTCCAAAAACACTTTGAAGAAAAGGAAAACAAAGTGAGCACATGCTGGGTACCCAGCGTAGAGTTCAGGGACAGGCATTGAGTCCAGGCCACCGCTTTCTGTCTTCAGAGGCCCCAGAACACTATCAAAGTCTCAGATACATAAACTATAAAGGCCAGCCACCCATAAAGCTTCATTTGTCATGAGTGCAAAGCTTAAACAGGGCTACTTACGTTTTCGGTAGAAGTTGTTATGAGGAATTCGGACATCAACCAGGCCTTGCAGGATCTATAGAGAAGTGACCCACAGTTAGAAGGCAGGAGACGATTTGTTTCCTCGGGCCCCCCGTGGTTCTGGGACAGTGAAGGAAATAAAGTCTAGCAATTTATGGCATTGTCCAGGTTTTAGGGCCTAGTCCTCCAAATTCCAACGATGTAGTATGCATTGTAATTGGGACTCAGGGTCATATGATGCTTTTTCCTTTATAATTAGGGAGGAACGTGGACTGCGAAGCCAAAGCCTGTAAAAACACCTGAGATGGGGTCACAGCCACTTCACCTTTAGATATTCTCTGCTAAGCCTAAGACACAGTCTGGCTGGAGAGAATATCAAGTAATTGTTTAATAACATCCAAATGCAGAACAAAGTCTATTTAAAAAACTATTGGGGTTGATAAGCCTCTTGAAAAATAAAGAGATAAACTACTGAGAAAATTCTGGGAAGGGCTCCATAGTCTTTTGCTTATTATTGTTATCTTTGCCTTCCTTGCAGAGGGCTGGTGAAGACTGCAGCAAATATGGGCATGTCAGATCTCCAGGACCTGGGACCCTAGGCCAGAGACATGCCATGGGCGGAAGGAACACAGCCCCCCTCTTCCTCGTGCGTCGGGATTTGGAAGTAGAGTACAGCATTCACATTAGCACTAGCACTCATCTACCTGGGAATGGTTCAAACCCCTTAAATGCACTCTACAGAGTCCGGTGAACTGACTGAAGTGGAAACATGCAGCCAGAACTGCTCTAAACCAACCGACTGGAGCATGACTAGAACCTGACCATTCTGGAAGTGGAAGCCTAGAGGTGAGACCCAGGCAAGTTGTCCAACACACTGGTTCAGCATCAGCCATTTTCTTTGCTCTATTGTTTATCCTGCCCTCACATATCTATCCATCTTACACCCTCCACCTCTGCTCTGCCCACCACCCATCCTGCCACCCACTCACCCATCTCGCATCTCTGACTCATACCTGCATATATCTATCTATGCACTACCTATCCTACATCTACCCATCCGTCCATCCTCCATCCCTGCTTTGTGCAGACATCCATCCATCCACCCTACATCTTCTGTGAGGTAATGCTAAATATTACTTGCTTTCTTCAGTTGCATTCTCTCAAAAGCATCGTGATTCTCTGAGCCTACATGTCCAGGAATAGTGTCGTCACACGGATTACTAATGCAATGAGTGCCTGTATGTATATTCTTCTGTTTTGCATTTTTCTGAGTTTTACTTTCTGATATGCTAAATATCAATAGTCAGAACCTCCATAAACAAAAGCTCTTTGGGGGTTCTTAATAATTCTTAAGAGTATAAAGCAGTCCTGAAATTTAAAAAAAAAAGAAAAGGAAAGGAAAGGAAAGAAAAAGAAGAGACCAAAAAGAAAAATCTCTGCTTCAGCCCTTGCCTGCCTTCCTCTCCCTCTGGGCCCCACTCACCTCTGCCTCCTTCTGGTGTCTTAAATTTACCCATGTTTTCCCCACCTCTGCCTATGCTGTTTCCTTAAAGAGGCTTATCAAAGTCTCCCCTGCCTCCCTGCTTTCAGTCACTATACCGGCTTCATTTCTTCCATAGAACTTAACACCATTTGTATTTGTTTACTTGTTAGTTGTCTGTCCCCAACCTGCCACCCCACCCCCGGTGGCCAGTATGTGCGCAGGTACCTTCTCGGCCTTATTTCTTCACCACCGTGCCCAAACAGTGCCTGACATATCACAGGCACAGTACAGACACCTGCTGAATGACTAAACTGACGAGTACCAGATGGAAGAGCCGTGTGAGGGAAGCCGGCACCGGCTGCCCAGGCCTCTGGCAGAGGGCAGGCGTACTGCTGCGGAGATCACGCTACCTGCTGGGGCACCTTGAAGCGGACGTAGGAGCAGAGCTGGAGCATTTCACTCATCTCTTCTGGGGTGGACGGGATCAAGGGGATCTTCCCTACGGCGGCCGAGTCCTGCAGTTCTTTGAGCCGCTGTATAAACGGATTATCAGTTGAGTAACGCAGGCCTGTGGGATTCAAACCAAATCAGCTTGGCAATGTATCTTCCTTCTTACCAACTCCCATTTTAGATAGGAAACTTCCAATATCATCCCAGAGCTAATATATTTCAGGTGTTTTTTTTCACCAGATTTCTTTTCCATCAATACTGCCATCCTTGCTCAAGGTCAAAACCACACTCTGAGACACAGAAAAAAAAATCCTTCTGGATATTTTAGGGACTGGTTACTCAAACTGTGGTCCATGGACCAGCAACACTGGAAGCCCATAAGAAATGCAGAATCTCAGCCCCTCACCTAAGACTCTTGAATCAGAATGTGCACTTGAACAAGATGCCAGGGAGGCGTACGTATGATAGTTTAAGGGGCGTTAGTCAATAAGGTAACTTGCCTGAGCCCCTGTAGATTCATATCGTTGAGGGGAGAGCTGATAATATACATGAAGGAAAGAAAACACAGGACTGGAATGACTGACGTCTCCTTCCTTTGGCCTGGACCCACTCAGTAATCTCATTTTTGGGGCCAATATGTATACGCAGTGAGAGAGAGACCCCTTCAGAGCTGTCCCCCATGTTGCCCTCCACATTGCCCCTTTTTCTCCAGATCACTAGGTGTTCACAGAGCCTGAATGGTGTTGAGACTGACCATCATTTCCTATCTCCCTGGGGCAAGACATGAGAAAATTCACATGAGCTGACATGCACATGAGGGCAAAACTAATTTTCACTTCCAACACTGAGCAAATGTCTAGATGTTTAACTTAGCTGACGAGCCACATTTCAGAAAGAAAGGGAGGGACATCAATACTGCGCTGCAGAAATCCACACTTTATAAATCTCCTATACTCAGCAATTCCTTTAAAGCTAGCACGGGCATCGTGTGGCTTTTACAATGCCATGGGGCAGATTACATGATCTATTTCCTTTTACTTTAAAAATAATCCTAGATTAAATGTCATGTGGTATCCTGGACTGGATCTTGGAACAGAAAAAGGACATTAGTGGAAAAAGTAATGAAATCCTAACAAAGCCTAGAGTTAGTTAAGAGTACTGTACCAGTGTTGGTTTTTTAGCTCTGACAAATTTACTGTGGTAACTTGAGCTGTTAACACTGGAAGGGGCTGGGTGAAGGGTATATGGGACTCTCTGTACTATCTTTGCAACATTTCTGTAAATTTAAAATTATTTCAAAGTATGGGGCGCCTGGGTGGCTCAGCTGGTTAAGCGTCTGACTCTTGATTTTGGCTCAGGTCATGATCTCACAGTTTGTGAGTTTGGCCCCTGCATCAGGCTCTGTGCTGTGTGGAGCCTGCTCGGGATTCTGTTTCCCTCTCTCTCTGCCCCTCCCCCTCTCTATTTCTCTCTCAAAATAAATAAAATTAACTTAAAAAACTTTTTTTTAAAAAATGAAATTATTTCAAAGTAAAAAAAAGTTTATCTTTTTGATTTCACACACAAATACTCAAGTTTAAATTTCCAATTGAAGTGCAGGTGTAAAGCTCTTCTCTGAGTCATACATTCAAAAAAGTCAGTTAGATCTGACCTTCCATAAGCAATAAAAAATCTAATAACTTCGATAGGAGCTGTTTCTCCTGTTCTCAAACTTTCTTATTAAAAGACCAAATGATTTCAGACATGGTGCTTGGGGAAAAACAGAAAAGAAAACACTTTGGGAGTTTACCTTCAACTTCAGTGTCCTCAACAGACCTGAAAATGATTTTGATAACTAAAATATTTTAAAGGTCAGTTTAGTTAGGTTTCAGTAGAAGGTCCCACTCATGGTGGGTTCTAGCAGATAAAGGAGGTAGTGGGTAAGAGTCACATAAAAGAGGTAGTAGACACTAAAGTATTTCTAAAGGAGCCACAGTTTGGGCTCTGAAGTCAGACAGCCTAGGCTCTGTTCTTATCCTGGCTCCAGCATTAACATAACTTCTTTGTGCCTCAGTGTTCCCGCCTATAATACTATCTTGATCTGGATAGTAACTGCAATGTAAAAAGTCATCGAGATGTACACTTAAAATTTGGGTGATTTAATATGTATGAATCATGCTCTAAGAAAGTACCAGAGAGATGGGGGAGGGAGCAGAAGAAGGAAAAAGAAAGAAGAATTAAGATTTTTTTCTCTAACACATTTACAGACCCAAGTTTGAAGACTTCTACAAGAAAAATGGATTTTAAAAACCCAACCTCAGGGGTGCCTGGCTAACTCAGTGGGTGGAGTATGTGACTCCTGCTCTTCCAGCTGTCAGCTCAAGCCCCACGTTGGGTGTAGAAATTACTTAAAAACAGAAAATCTATTTTAAATAAAATTTTTTGAAAAATCCAACTTCAGAATGTAATTTCTGGGGACATATTACAGCTCAAGAAGTTGACATATATACATTGATTGAAACACAAAAAATAAAGTTATTTATTTTTTTATTTTAGAGAGAGAGTACACATGTGTACCCATGAGTGGGGGAAGGACAGAGTGACAGAGAGAGAGAGAGAGAGAGAGAGAGAGAGACAGCGTGAGCAGGGGAGGGGCAGAGAGAGAGGAAGACAGAATTAGAAGGAGGCTCCAGGCTCTGAGCTAGCTGTCAGCACACAGCCCGACGTGGGGCTCGAACCCACGAACCGTGAGAACATGACCTGAGCTGAAGTCGAACGCTTAACCGACTGAGCCACCCAGGCGCCCCTGGTTAGTTATCGTTAAAGCACTGCATATCTCTAAAGTAGACATTGAAAAAAAATTCTGAAAAACAGCCATAGCAGACACTGCCATCCGCTACCTAGGGATCCAGACTCTGCTGTGCTCAAGTCATACATGGGGTTACTTTAGCCTTGTTACTCACCAGCAGGGCACACAAGACTTAGACTGCAGACATCTGATGGGTAGTAAGCAGCATATACCCCAGCCACGTGGCCACCCATGGAGGTGCCTACCAGGTGGAAAGGTTTTTTGTTCAGCTTGAGGCATTCTACAAACTAGGAAGAGAAATGAGAAGGAGGTTTGATTATATAGCTGTAGCCAATAACAGCAATAGTGATTACATAGCAGAAAACCTCTGTACTTCTGTAAGGACAGCTAACAAGGGCTATTAATGAAAGGGCGTCTATAATCTACTGGATCCACTCTCTAGACAAGCCTTGTGGCACAAAATAATCTCTACCTGGCACAGGTGATTGAAGGGTCATTTATATGTATAAAACCAACAAGGATTCCCCCTAATTCATGAGCCAGCAAACTTTTTTTATAAAGATCTCAAGAGAAAATATCTTTTGCTTTGTGGGTCATTATGTTCTCTGTTGCAGCTACTCAACTCTGCTGTCGTAGCACAAGAGCAGGCAGAGATAATACGTAAATGAATGAGCGTGGTTATATTCCAAGAAAACTTAGCTTACAAAAACAGGTGGCAGGCCAACCACAGTTTGCGGACTCTTGCCCTAATTTAAAGCCCTTCCCATCCACCCAACCATCCATTCATCTAACAATCAACCCGTCTATTCAACCATCCAACCATTCAACCAACCAACCACACATCTAAAAATTATTTATTGGATATTTCACCAAAGACCCCAAAAGATAAGGTTCCTGTCCTCATCAGAACACACGGTCTAAAGGAGATTTGCACAGACATTAAATAAACATCTTCAGGGCAGCTGGGTGGCTCAGCTGGTTACTGCCAACTTTGGTTCAGGTCATGATCTCACGGTTTGTGATTTCGAGCCCTTGCAGCAGGCTCTGTGCTGGCAGCTCGGAGCCTGGAGCCTGCTTCAGATTCTGTGTCTCCCTCTCGCTCTGCCTGTTCCCTGCTCTCTCTCTCTCTCACACACACTCTCTCTCTCTCTCTCCCTCTCTCAAAAAGAAATAAGCATTAAAAAAGTAACCATACTCGTTTGGGGAAAATATGTACTGTTAATTTGAAACTTACAAACTATGAAATTCTGAAGTAGTTCATGAGACTGATGATTTTGAAAGCTCAGCCAGAGGGAGGCTGAAGCTAGATACTAAAATAGAACAAAATGCAAAGAGCACCCTTCCCATCCTCCACAACTAGGCAGAGGGGCTATCATGATATTGTGTCATGTAGGTGGTAAGCAAAAAAATAGACTCTAGGGAAATGATCTTGAGAATTCTAAACTCCTTTTTCAAAGAGCAAAAACAAAATGTTCACACCATATTTCTTGAGAAAGAGCTAAAACGGGCTTAAAGGAGAACAGTATGCAATAGGTCCTGACCCTCCACAGCCAAGCAATGATACCAATGGGGTGCCATTTTGTTTGTAAATATTTGCAGACAGAATGCATTGGAGACTGGTTACAAGTCAGCATAGAACTCTCTTACCTGCTCTCCAGGCTTCATGTGAAGTGGGTAAGGCCCAGTCTGAGCAATTTTGGTAGAGCTTCCAGCTTACCTGGTGTATCCTCTTTACCTGTCCATCTATGGACAGGTCATCCAGGGAGGACCGGGTGGTGCCCTCATGTCCTGGCATGTCCACGCAGACCAAGTGCAGGTTCTTTGGAAGGAACTGAAGACACATGGGTGCAGAGAGTCAGTATGTGGTATGCAGGACATGTCTGCCTACTCTTAGGGAGGCTGCCTCCACTTACCAAGTGATCTGACAGTCATCTTTGAGTGTGGTGGGCCTAAGCCACTCAGTGTCTTACCCCAGTAACATCTGATATGAGTAAGTACTGCCAGTAACCTCATAGGGAGCAGAGCCCCCCCAAAGATAAATATACAGATGGGAGGGGACTCAGGAGATGTATGGAAAAGGGGGACAAAGGTTATGGTAGCAAGCTGGGGTTTCTTGCTTTCTTTCTTTTTTTTTTTTTAAATGTTTTATTTATTTCTAGGGGAGAGAGAGAGAGAGAGAGATAGCATGAGCAGGGGAGGGTGAGAGAGAGAGGGAGACACAGACTGAAACAGGCTCCAGGCTCTGAGCTGGCAGTCAGCACAGAGCCCGACGCGGGGCTCGAACCCATGAACTGCGAGATCACGACCTAAGCGAAAGTCGGACGCTTAACCGACTTACGCCACCCAGGCGCCCCTTTCTCGCTCTTTCTTAATGCCAGTTGGCAGGTACTATCTCCTTCTCCTTTCCCTCATCCCTTTCACACTTACTCCGGTCATGTAGCCACTGACTTGGAACCAGAAAAGAAGCCTCTGTTCTCTCAGAACACAGCCAGCTGGAGCAGCCCCAGAGCCCACAGGAGCAAAGCTTTCCCTAAGAACGATGTCTGTCTGATCACCCCATCTCTGGGTTTAACTTTTATTTTTATTTTTTTGCATTAATGTCTAATTCCTGGGACGATTATTATCCTAAAATGCCTTCCATTTATATTTGTGCCACTTTTTAACCAGGAAGCTGAGAAACATCTGTTACCAATAAACAAATACCCAGTTACATAAAAAAAACATCTGAGAGGCATCTGGGTGGCTCAGTCGGGGAAGCGTCTGACTCTTGATTTCAGGTCAGGTCGTGATCTCATAGTTCATGGGTTTGAGCCCCACAAAGCCTGCTTGGGATACTCTGTCCCTCTCTCTGCCCTTCTCTCTCTGGTGTGCTTGCTCCTCATTCTCTCAAAAATAAACAAATTAATTAAACAAACAAACATTTGAGTTGGGACAGAAAGCAAGAGGTTCACTAAGGTATGAGGATGGCCGTCCTTAGGTGGAATCTGGGAATGAGAACACAAGGAACTACACCATGTGGGAGCCTTTTCCCCCTGGTGTAGATCATACTTGCAATTACTCAGGTTAGTTCTGCTTGCCTCCCCAGATCTCTCCCAGCCTCCACCTGCACCAGCCGGCCACTGACCAAGTTGCCATACCCAAGGAAACCAGGACAGAAGGTGAGCAATTTGGAAAACTAATCTCAGGAAGCTGCTAGATAAAGACTACTTCTCTAAATGACTCAGGAAAATTAAAACAACAACAACAACAACATAACAGTAGGAGGAAGGGAGGAAGGGCAAGGGAGAAAGAGAAGAAGAACAAAAGGGAGAATGGGGGGCTAGAAGAGGAGATACTTGGGAGTATAAAAGAATAAATGATTCTGGGGCACTTGGGTGGTTCAGTCGGTTAGGCATCTGACCTTGGCTCAGGTCATGATCTTGCAGTTCGTGAACTTGAGCCCTGCATCCGACTCTGTGCTGACAGCTCAGAGCCTGGAGCCTGCTTTGGATTCTGTGTCTCCCTCTCTCTCTGCCCCTCCCCCACTTGCACACTGTCTCTCTCTCTCTCAAAAATAAACATTGAAGAAGAATAAATGACTTTGTTAACCTGATCTTGATAGTCATGACAAATTGAAAGGAAGGTAAGTGTCAGAAATCTTCCTTAAGAAATATTCACAAGGTGAAATGATTTCTGTTTTAGGGTACAGATTTTACAAATAGCATTCAACTCAGTAAATTTTTTCTGAGAAGAGGATTTGGACAATACAGTTGACCTTCAAACAACATGGGTTTGAACTGTGCAGCTCCACCTATAGGTGGATTTTTTTCCATACAGCATAGTAAATGTATTTTCTCTTCCTTATGATTTTCTTAACAACATTTTCTTTTCTCTAACTTACTTTATTCTAAGAATACAGTATATAATACATAATACATATAACATACAAAATATGTGTTAATCAACCATTTATATTATTGGTAAAAGCTTCTGGTCAACAGTAGGCTATCTGTAGTTAAGTTTTGGGGGAGCAAAAAAGTTATACACGAATTTTTGACTGCATGGTAGGTGGGCTCCCTTAACGCCCATGTTGCTCAAAGGTTACCTGGATACTGAACTAGTTTTAAGATGATATGAGCCATGGTTCTGGATTCCCTTTGCTTTTCATCATTGCATGCATTCCATCACGTGGAATCACATCCCTTTTCTTTACTGAGGGACCCCCTCTTGAGAGAGAAGAATCTAGAACTGCACCTTGACCACACTGAGCCACATATCCTTATGTGCAGAGAATCCATGGAGCATGAGGAGGGAAGGTTTGTGCCCAGGCCTGCCCCGGAACGAGTAACAGAACTGATAGTCTTCATGGTAAACGTAGCGGACTTGCATGCCCAACGTTCTCCGCCAGTACCTGGGGAGGAAAAATAAAGGAGAAGCAAAGTCAGCAAGCTCCAGAGAAGTGGTTTTGGGAGGGGCACATGCCCTCCTCCCCGTATGTCCCTGGTCCCCCACTCTCAGGGAGCACACTAAGTGAAACCATTCCAGGAAGCACCTTAAATGAATACTCTCATATGTTCTTTTCTAATAACTTCTAACTAGGAGGAGAAAAAAGAGTGTTTTCTGAAGAAGAATGATATATAATAAGCTTCTGTTAATATGTAAATATATATATACAGATATAGATATCTATATATATATATCTTTTTAGCAGTTTGAATGGCGGTATGATGGAGGAGTAGGTGGTGAGATCTTTCTAGGTGTCTGGTTGGCCTTTCTCTGCCTTGCTTGCTTGAGCTACAGTTGAATTCAAAGTAGCTGGTGGCAAGGCTGGGAAGAACTCAAGAAAGGCCAAGACAAAGGCAGTTTCCTCTCGTAGAGAGCTTGCTTGCAGTTCCCGGTGGGTCATTCTCATGGACACCTGAAATCTAGGACAGTCATGGATGTGTGGACATGGCTGCACGGTGTACAGTGCATCCTGGAGTAAGTACCTCACTACAGAGGGGCTCCGACTGGCAGGAAATACATCAAAAGACTTAAAGATAAAGCATATTACCGCTCATCACTTGCAACTTGCTATTTGTGAAGATGAAGACTTAGACTCTCTCCTTAATGCTACAATTGCTGGTGGTGGGGTCACATCCACAAATCTCTGATTGGGAAGAAAAGACAACAGAATACTGTCCAAGGATGCCTCGATTCCTTATGATCTCAGGACTAAACACTCTGACAGCTGTCCAGCGTTGGTGAGTCCAGCGGACTCTGTCTCTGTGAGAAACACAATGCTGCCCTTTTATAATCCTATTTGAGCAAGTAGGAAGTTTAATTAGCTTTCCGACCAACCACATTTCTGCCCTTGAGTCCTAACCTTATTTAAGTGTTACTGTGGCTTCTGAGAAGCGATTGATTCTAAAATATTTTGATAGAGTTGACTGGATTTTACTTATTTATTTAAAGTTTTTTTTAATGTTTATTTTTGAGAGAGAGAAAGAGAGAGAGAGAGAGAGAGAGAAGAGCAAAACCAAGGGAGGGGCAGCGAGAGAGACACACAGAATCCCAAGCAGGCTCCAGGCTCTGAGCTGTCAGCACTGAGCCCGACATGGGGCTCAAACTCACGAACTGCCAAGATCATCACCTGAGCCAAAGTCGGACGCTTAACTGAGCCACCTAGGTGCCACTAGAGTTGACTGGATTTTAATTGTGATGTAGAAGTCATATAACATTTTGTTTTATACAGACATTATTCCCACTCTGATGGATAAGCTCAAGAAGGGTCATACCCCTCTACCCCAAACATATATACATATACATGTATTAAAATATGTATATTTAATATACATATAAAATATATACTTATATATTTTATTTATTATATATATACACATTATATTTTTTATTATATAATATATATAATAATTATATACAATAATCATATATATATAATTATTATATATATAATACATATATATGCTTTCTTCTCCCTACAGATTTTGAGAGGGAGAACTGACTCTTCAGAACTATCTGCATCAGTCCTCTGGTTTTATTCTCGATAGCATTCGGCAGCTGGTTGGAAGCTCAGGTTCTGTTGGTTATGTAAGACTTGGCAGTGCTGGAGTTTGGCCCGAATTCCATTTCAGTATGGAATTACCATCAAACAAATGTAATGCTCTGCATGAAGAATCTCTCCAAGATGAAAGATAGTTAATTCAATCAGAGATTCACTTTGTGGTCTACTTTGCACCAGAGAGGTAGCCAAGTCTTGCAGAAAGCAAACAGCCTAAGCTGATTAGTGTTAACCAGCCCTTGGTATAAAATAAAGGACGAAGGGGCTGAGGACATATATGCATATGTACTTGCACCTGCATATTCAGAGCACGAGAGCGTATACAAGACACTATTAAGATGAGTATCTGGAGTGGAGGTGGGAATTATAGTGAGAAGTTAAGTGGAAAGAGAACAGTGGCAGGAGGGAGATTTCATAACTTTCTTTTTTCAGTGAATGCATTGCCTATTCAAAACATTAAAAATAGCACTGGCTAGCCTAAAAGCTCTTATGACAAAGCAAGCATATGTCAAAATTCTAAACCATGGCACCATAACATGAATTAGTTTGTTCATTCATTCATTCATTCATTCATATCCCAGCTCATTCATTAATTAAATGATCTTTTTAAAAAAAACTGAAGTGTAGTTGACATAGAATGTTTTATTAGTTTCATGTGTACAATATAATGCTTAGACAATTTGATACATTACTCAATGCTCCCCATCTGTTACAGAATTCTTGACCATATTTCCTATGCTGTACTTTTCATCTCCATGACATATTTATTTTGTAACTGTCTCCTTCACCTATTTTACCCATCCCCCCTCCACTTCCCTTCTGCCAGTTACCAGTTTGTTTTCTGCATTTATGATTCTGTTTCTGTTTTTTCATTTGTTTTGTTTTTTAGATTCCTCATATGAGTGAAATCACATGGTATTTCTCTTTCTCTGTCTGACTTCACCTAGCATAATACCTTATAGGTCCATCTATGTTGTCACAAATGGCAAAACCTCATTCATTTTTATGGATGAGCGACTGATACTTCGTTGCACACACACACACACACACACACATATGTGTGTGTATATATATATACACCTGGATGTATATGTGTGTGTGTGTGTGTGTGTGTGTGTGTGTGTGTGTGTGTACATATGCACTTGGATGGCTCAGTCGGTTAAGAGTCCGAATTCGGCTCAGGGCATAATCTCGCAGTTTGTGGGTTCGAGACCCGAGTCAGGTTCTGTGCTGACAGCTAGCTCAGAGCCTGGAGCCTGCTTCCCATTCTGTGTCTCCCTCTCTCTCTGACCCTCCCTGCTCATGCTGTCTCTCTCTGTTTCTCAATAATAAATAAATGTTTTAAAAAATTTTTTAAGAAAAGTACTTAAGCATTTTTTTTACTGTGTCAGAATATACATAACAAAAGAGTCACCAATTTAACCATACAATTCAATGGCATTAAGTACATTCACAATGATGCACATCAACCATCACCACTGTTTATTTCTAGAACTTTTTCATCATCCCAAATAGAAATTCTATAACCATTAAATAATAACTCCCCATTTTCCTTCTCCCCTCAGCCCCTGATAACCAGTATTCTGCTTTCTGTCTCTAGGAATTTGCTTATTCTAGGTACCTCATATAAGTAGACTCATACATTTGTTTTTTTTGTGTCTGGCACATTTCACTGAGCATTGTGATTTCAAGTCCATCCATGTTGCAGATGTATCAAAATGTCCTTCCTTTTTAAAACTGAGCAGTATTCTATTTAATATAGGCACCACATTTTGTTTATCATTCATCTGTTGACAAATATTTGGACAGTTTCATTTTTTTGGCTATTGTGAGTAACGCTGCTATGAACGCCGGTATACAAATATCCGTTTGAGTCCCTGCTTTCAATTCTTTGGAGTATATACCCAAAAGTAGAAATGCTGGATCATATGTAATTCTATGTTTAACTTTTGAGGAGCCACTAAATTTGTCACAGTAGCTGTACTATTTTACATTTATACCAGCGATGCACAAGGATTTCTCTATATCCTCACCAACACTTGCTATTTTCCGTTTATTTTTTTCTGAACTAATAGCCACCCTAACAGGTGTGGAGTATTGCATTGTGGTTTTGATCTGCATTTCCCAAATGAGTAGGATGTTGAGTATAGATTTCTTTTTATTGAAATATAATTGACATACCATAAAACTCACCCTTTTTAAAGGTATAATTGGGGATTTTTTTTTTTTTTTAAAAGCATGTTTGCGAAGTAGTGCAACCATCACCACTACCTAATTCTGGAACATTTTCATCAAAAAGAAATCAGACTGATGGTACACTTTAAAATGGGTAGAAAGGTAGGGCACCTGGGTGACTCAGTTGGTTAAGTGTCCAACTTCGATTCAGGTCATGATCTCATGGCTCATGGGTTCGAGTCCCACATTGGGGCTCTGTGCTGACAGCTCAGAGCCTGGAGCTTGCTTTGGCTTCTGTGTCTCCCTCTCTCTCTGCCCCTCCCCTGCTCTCACTCTATGTCTCTCTCAAAAATAAATAAATAAACATTTTTTTTAAAAAAAGACATTTTGAGGAACAGCCAGACTGTTTTCCAAAGTGACTGCACAATTTTACATTTCCACCAGCAGTGCCTGAGAGGTTCATTTCTCTACATCCTTCATTGCTATTTTTTAGAGAAACTTTTCATTGAAGTATAAATCATATAGAAATGCGCACAAATTTTAAGTGAACAGCCTGATGAATATGCAGAACTGACTCGAGCTATCCAGGCTCCCCATATGGTAGCTTAAAAAAAATGAACCCAGTATCTGCCACCCAGATTAGGATTAAGAATATGACCAGCAACCCAGATGCCCACCTCATGTCTTTCCCCATCAGTACCCCCAAAGGTAACCACCACCTCACTTTATCTCTCCAGGATAGTTTTACTATTTACAACTTTTTGTAAATAGTCATAAGTATTTGTTTGTATCGGATTTCTTTCACTCAGTATTGTGTTTGTGTTATGGAATATAGCACTAGTTCTTTCCTTTTCACAGCTGTATATAGTATTCCATTGAATACTATATGAATTTTACAGCTATGCTCTTATTTGTCTGTTACAGTACTAATGGAGACTGGTGTTTCCAGTTTGGAGGTATTATAAATGAAGCAGCTATGGAACATTCTTTTATATGGCTTTTGATATCTCTCAGTGTGTATATATATATATATATATATATATACACACACACACACACACACACATACTTTTGTTGGGTGAAATGAGAGGTCATATTGACAAAAAGGTTTCCAAAGTGGATGAAGTAATTTATACTTCCATCAGCTATACGCCAGATTCTCGTTGCTCCACGCT